CAGAAGGGTCTTCTGTATTTTTCATTCAATATTCCCTTTGCTCTGTCCACAGATTCCAGGAATAGGAAGGTATGTGTTTCTGCAAAGACTGGGGTCATCAGGTTAGTTCCAGGGCCTGGAGGCCCGATGGCTGCAGATGGTGGACACCAAGATGCCTCTCTATGTGCCTTCCTTAGGAAAGTCACAAAGCTTCCTTTATTATAGGCCTAAGAAACATCTAGCTTGAATAGTTTGAGAAGACTTATCCTTTTTTCACCTCTAAATAAGGGAGTCAGCAATCTGGGTCATTTTTTTAAAATATGACTTTATTTATTCTTTCTCTTCTTAATAGCTCCATTCCAGCTGATTTAAGACATCAATCTCGTCACTCCAGGCACTGTCCTACTTCAGAGCCACCCAGCATTGTATGCTTTCTACCCAGTCTGCCCCCAAAAGTAGGTGGCCTAGAATAAAGAGGAGAAAGTGAGAAAGAAAACAAAAGGGGTGCTTGCCTCTCAGGCCACAGCCAGACAGACCAGAAAATCCCCCTCTGGGGTCTGCTGAGCCTTGCTCACCCAGGGAGCGATGGGGCTCTTAGGACCCCACTGGAAGCTCGTTAATCTCATATGCCCTCCTACTTCCTACCCCCCCACCCCACCACCTGCTATTCCCCACATTGAACCTCTGAAAGAGCTAGCCCACCGCCAAGGAAGCGAGCAAAGCAGAAACATAGGAAAACAAGGGAGAGGGGAGAGACCATGAGTCTCCTGGACACGGCTCTGGCTATTCATGAGATGTCTATGGGTCAGGAGGTTATCAATGGGTCATGGGGGTTACCATGAGGATATCTATGGGATAGCTATAGGTCATGAGGTCTATAGCTCCATTCATTTGAGGTCCTTAATGATGCTGGAAGTCACTCACCTTGGTGTGGCACAGAGGAAAGGACACCCAAACAAGGGCCCAAGGAAATCTTGGAGGCTCATGGGGTTATTGACTCATCAGAGATATGTGGCCTGGAGGACTATGTTTTTTGTGAGGTTAAATGTTCACAAAATTTAGGGGGTATGAGGAACTAGTCAGGAGAGATTTCAGGGAGGTTGGTTAAGTATCACCTAGCCCTCCCTCCCACTCACCATCTGCCAGACTGCAGAGGCAGTTCCGTGAGGGTGAACTGTGGCAAGCATGCCACCGCCTCCTGGAGCTGTCCTGAGGGAGGGGAGATCTGTGACCCAGGGTGGAGCAGGGACCTCGCTCAGCGCAGACCGCAGCTGCCGCTCTTGATCCACTCGCCACACTTGGGAAAGCGCTTCCCTGGGCTAGCACAGAATGAGCAGGCCGGTCGTGACACGGGGTCAGTGCACCGTGAGGCTGCATGCAGAGTGCTCCGTGTGCCCTTTCTCTGCTGAGCGTCCCTAGTTTTCATGTGCTCTTCCTGCCCTGCCCACTGCCCCAAAAGGGTGAGGAGGCACTAATTTAGGGGAGGGGGGGGGACTTCATTGGCAGAATTTAACCTGAGAAGAAAAGCTAGAAGGACACTCAAAGGCTTCACGTGACCCAGGCTTCCATAGGAGCCTCCCCATGTGTGTCTTCTCCCATCTCAGGGCTGTGTTCAACCCTGTTGCTTTCGCTGTAGCACAGAACACAAAGTCTTACACATAGTAGGCACTCAGTAAATACTTGTTGAACAAACGTGGACTCTAACATGACTGCTGCTGAGAATAGCAAAGGGTTATATCACAGTTCCTGTAATAAAATGTGGCATACAGACCCTGGTATCCTTGGCCGTTGTCACCGTCATGACGCGGCCCGTGGCTGGCCAGCGGGCTGTGGCTCCCGCACCTTCCTCTCCCTGACCTCGTCTACCCAGTCCTCCCTGATTGTCCTGTGCGGTTTGGTGTTCTCCCGGTGGTGAAAACGTTGACCGGACTTCCGGCCGCGGCCTGGTTCAGACCATCACCGTCTGGTTAGAGGAGGCTCCTGGCGCCCCATGATGGGGCAGGGTCTGACACTCACGGTCCTCTGTGCCCTGCCTCCCCTAACAGCTGCTGTTTGCTGGATATTTTAGTACTCAGCCGCTGGGAAAATCCTCCGTCCCAGGGCCAGGATGGCTTTACAGCTGCAGGCTCTATTTTTAAAAATTGCCAAGTTCCTAGGAAACCCCCATTCCTGTCACAGGGTCGCACGGCCTCTGGCCTCCTCCCAGCCCCTGCACTCCTGTTGCCTCAGTGGTCCCACGATGCCGTGTTCACCTAGTCCTGCCTGCACCTCTCCAGCATCCTATGGCCACCCTTCCCTTTGTGCTTCTGAAACCCACATGTTTACTCCTACCGCTGTGTCTGCAACCTGGTATTACAGTCACCTTTTACTTACCTGTCCCCACATATCAAGTTCATTTATTCACTCAACAAACATTTACTGAGTCCTGCCCATGTACAAGGCACTGTTCCAGGCACTCGTGACACGCCAGTGAACAAAACAGACCAAAATACCTGTCCTCGTGGAGCTTACAGACAAACGACACATAAGAAATGAGTAAATTCTGCAGAGAGTGACGCGCACTGTCAGAAACAGGGCAGGTCTGCAGGAGCGCTCGATGAGTGCGCGTTGAGTTGAGTTTAATCATGACACAGTTAAGTGGACGTATGCTGGGGACTCTTTTCTTCCTCATGGACTCAGTTCAAACTAACAACCCCCAGGCCCTTGACGTGGTTTTTGTAGTCTGCACCACGACTACATTTCGTAAATTCCTCTACCAAGGTCTGGTAACCCCAGATAACTATCAAAAGATTTGGGAAGGAATATTGGGCTGTCACACTTCAAACTAGGCAGACAGGGCAGGTCTCTCAGTGCCTCTCAGGCTTTTTTATTCACCGCACACAGAGAGCGTAATAATTGTCCAGCATCCGTAGGTACGTGGCTAAGGTTTCTCAGAGCCTGAGAAGCCCCGAGGGCCAAGGGCGGCACTATCTCAGCAGCCCTGTAACTCATTTGTGACACCTGGCAATAGCCAGCCAACTTTAGCATGCTTCAGACTCACCTGGGTGATTGATACGCAGAGTTATGAGGCTCGCTGAGTTCTTGGAGAGGGGCCCAGGAATCTGCTTTGTTAACAGTTTCCCACATGATTCTGATGCTGGTGGTCCTGGGACCACACCTTGAGGAGCACTGCTGTGCAAAATAGCAGAGGCGTGTGCCGAATCGCAGTACTTGTCGTGTTGTTCTATTTGAAGTTGGGAGCATGGAGACAATAACGTGAATCGGTGGTTCTCAAACTTGAGCATGCTTCAGACCCACCTGTGAAACATGGGTTGTTGGGCCCACCCCTGGGGTTTCAGGGTGGGGCCCGTATGTGAGCATTTCTAAACAAGTTCCCAGACGATGCCGACGCTGCCGATCCACGGGACCGCTCTGAGAACCACTGATGCGCGTCATTCGGGCAGCCTGTGTACTTAGGACTTTGGATTCCTGTGAGCTAATTTCATAAGGACAGAGTTGGGGTTTATTTTAGGAAGATAAGACTAAAGCCTATCTAGTCTGGTCAGAAAGCATAGGAAGAAATACACGAGAACTAAATCACAATAGAGTTCCTGTGTGATACTTCCCATCGTCTTCACAGACACCCTGTAGCCAGCACTGTGCTGGAAAATGTTTAATAGCCGGCTCTTAGCGGCAAAAGGTAGAGAGAGGACTTTTTGCCAATTTCTGTACACCATGGCCAATTTCAAGCTACCATGATGAAGTCACTGAACATAGAGTTGGGAAGAGATGCACAGTGGCTCTACAAAGCCCATAGGAGCCAGCTCCAGCACATATAACGTTCATTCATTCATTCAACAAACAGGTACTGAGTACTTAGCATGTGCAAGACACTGCCTTCAGCTACTCTAAGGGCTCACACCCCTTCTCAGAGTGTCTCCGTCATCCAGTCAGTCACAGGCCCCAGTTTCCAGGGTGAGGATTGTGTACATCCAGGCTGTGGTTGCAGGCGCAGGAATTATTCTCTGAACACGTAAACCAAAACACCTGCCTTTCCTGGCCTGTGGCCTGCAGTGCGTGTGGAGCACTGGAGTTTTGCCTCCAAAGTCTGGGCGCGGCTCAGGTCCAGGTGGCAAGCCCCTTAGGAAGGTCTCCTTCCCCACACATCTGGGAAAGTTCCGGACCTCTGGCTCTATCAGTAAGAGGTGAGGAACTTCCGCCAGCAAGGTCAGGGTGCCTCAGGCGCAATGGAAGATTTATGGCCACGTAAACCGAGCTGAGCTAAAACCATCCCACGCTGAAGATAAATGAGGCGGTCCACCTTCTTAGAAAAGTAAATAGAAAACATTGAGGAAACTTTTCTGTTCCAGCAAATAGAACAACACAGAAAGCCAAACAAGATTCCTCTTGAGGAGAGCCTACCAAGGTCCCTTCCAGTTCAAGGTCACGGGGACATATTTTGAGTATAGATGATCCCAAAAGTAACGGTGGATCCTCGTCCACACAGACGAAACCAAGTTCAGCCCCATTCGTCTCCTCCAGATTCTGTTCACACCCCTCTCTACCTGCCTCCTCACTTTAACTCGATTCTGCTTTCTCTCTTTCCTAACTTTCCTTCGTCTTTCCAGATGCAGGACGCTATGGGCTATGAGTTACCCTGGGTGTATTTTGTCAGTCTGGTCATCTTTGGATCCTTTTTCGTTCTAAATCTGGTTCTCGGTGTGTTGAGCGGGTAAGCTGACCGTTTCTATGTCCTCTTTACAATGCAGCCGAGCAAGGTCCCAGGTTCCACTGTATCCAACACCAGGATCCTCAGGGACAGGACCCTAACAGGCCCAGGAAAATCAGAAAAAAAAAAAAAAAAGGCTTTCTTCAACCACCAACTCTGACCCATTGGCTGGGCAGGCTGTTTGGCCTCCAATTTGCACCCAGAGGGTCCGGGTCCCAGCGCGGCTGGAGTCGGTGTCTGGGAGCCGGTGCGGGGCGCTTGGCCGTGCTCGGCTGCTGGGTGTGCGGCACTAATTATCATTCCGTTCTTCCAGGTCAATGATGCCGTAGGAAGGGACTGGCCCTGGATCTATTTTGTTACACTAATCATCATAGGGTCATTTTTTGTACTTAACTTGGTTCTCGGTGTTCTTAGCGGGTAAGCAGGACCAAGGAAAAGGTCTTGATTTTTCCATTTATTTTATTTACTCTCTCTGCTCTTCCTGGCTTTATTCTTTTTCTGGCTCCAATGAACCTGGCCACGTGGATAAGAGGCCACCTCGGGAGCCTTGAAGTGAAGGTCCTTGGCCTGGCTGGGCAGAGGGTCAAATGGACGAGAATGAATCCATTGGTTTGGGGTTCACCAACAGATGCCTAGGCCCACCTGTCTCCTGCCAGCCAGCTCATCCAACCCCTCCCGCCCAGGCGGGTGCCTGTCCTTGTACTTGAGGAATGCGTGGCGAGACCCTTGAGAGGGAAGGGTTTGGCAGCAGGATTAGCAGGAAGATTCACGGACCGTGCGCTTTCAACTTACAAAGTGGCCTTGCGGACAGTGCTTGCCTGGCCTCTCAAGCCGGTCGCAGTTTGTGGCAGGCGGACTGAAGATTTCAGGTTCGGCCTTCATTCAGTGTTGAATGGCTCAGGGTAATGTGACTGTGATTTAAAATATATATCAACAAATACAGACTAAAAATATACTTCTCTTTGGTTCTAATTCCCGGACTGAGCAGTCCATGTCTGGTGTTCCCTTTTATGAATGGAAAAGGCACTTAGCTGTTTAAACCACAGATTATTTGAGAATAGAGGAGACGGAAGATACTTTCCTTTCAATTTATCTACTTAGCTATAAATATAAAGCCTGCCTATTTGGGGCCTTTGCGCAGATGAGGTGAAAAGTGGTAGAGGGAGCATGTGGCAGGGGCACTGAGTAGCCCTGGGAATGGCCACCTTCACACCATGGAGCCTCACTGGCTATTTCCTCGGCCCACTTTCCTTTTCAAGTCTACACCAGCCATGCCAAGGCCTACACCTAAATGCTCCTGGTGACCTGCTCGTGGGTGACACACTCTGCTACCTTTGTTCCATGGGGGAGGGGGTAATCTGTTTCTGCTCTGCTCGAGACAGGTCAGCTGCTTTGAATAGCCTTTCCCAGATCTCCAGGGGTATTAATGCTGGGGGGAAGTCACGCATAAGGAGAAAGACTGAGCTTCATTTTCATTCAGCACATAAACTGGAAACAGCTACCCCACCTCCCGGCATAGCCTGATCAATGCAGGAACCGTAGCTTTAGTCTTCAGAACCGGGTGAAAAGAAGACTTGCTTCCGTCCTCGCCCTTTCCCATGGTGGGTGGCCTATTAGAGACCTTAACGGCATCATGCCTTTTGCCAGGGTAAGGCCACACAGAAAACTAGTGTCTTCCATCAGGGGTAAAAATGATAAGCAGGACCACGTAAGCCTCTGATTAGCTGCCTGGAGGGTGGAGGGGTTTTCGTTTTTGTGTTCCAACACAAGAAAATGCCCCTGTGTTTATATGTGAATCATGAAGGAAAGCATTGAAAAATCAACCTCATCACCCCCACTCAAGACATAGATTTGGATGTCCCAGCTCTGCACTTTCTAGATGCATAATGTTGGGCAACTTCACCTTTTTAAACTTTTGTTGCCCATCTGAGAAATGAAGGTAATAGTACCGACTCACAGTTGTTGTGATGATAGAATGAGATCCCTTATGTAAAATGCTGAGCACGTGGCAAGTGCTCAATAACGGTGCTGCCGTTACAGCGATCATTATTGGTGCCTATCACAGCTGGAATTATTGAACTGAACTGTCAAATGTTAGAACTGCTCCAACCCTTTCCTTTTAAAGATGAGGAAAGAGAGCCTAGAGGTATTAAGTGACTCGTACAATGTCACTTTACTGGTAATATCAGAACCAGGACCAGAACTCAGGCACAGCCTGTCTCCCATCTTCCCAGCACTGCCCATTGGACATACATTGAATGAGCTTGAACCAACACAAGCCAGAGCTCTGAACCTTTAAAAGATGTGTTTCCACTTTCTTCTCCCAGAGGTTAGGAACAAACCTCAGCAAGTGAAATTCCCCCCAGGAATCTGAAGTGGGGAGTGAGGACTAGACCGTGAAGGCCCCTCCTCAAGCAGAGTAACTGCCCACAGTCATTTCCGCCACCAGAAAAGTTATCTTCCTGGTGGTATCAACGCAAAGAAGTCAAGTGACAGCAGCCGCTGATGTGAGAGAAAAGTTGTTCTGAAGACCATGACTTGGCCTGACTCAGTCCCAAGGAGAGAGGGCGTGTAAAACACCCAGCTCGAAGCCTGGCATGTAGTAATACTCAACACGTGAGTCAGCTCTGAACAGGAACACTAAGGCTTTCAGAGCCCTGGACCTGGGAGCCCTCTGGTCCATAGGTTGGTCTCCTCTGGAGACTTTCCCGGGCACCTGCTCCCTGACACATTCCCAGAGCGGCAGTCTGCTCCTTGCAGCTCTGGAATTGCTGACAGAACGTCTCCCAAGGTTCCTGGACCTCCGGGCACACCCTCTGCCTGGACACAGAAGTGTCTGTGGGTGAGCATCTCCCCTTCCTGGTTTAAGGAGGCCTCTCATAATCTGTCAAGAAGGCTGGCCACTCTGAATGGGCTGCCCCGGGTCCATTCAGTGACAAAACCTGGAATCAGGCTCCTATTGGCTGACCACATGGTCGCAAGGGTTTCAGTTTCAAGTCAGCATCTTAATTAATCAGGATAACAATATAATAGTTACCACAAGAATGCAGCAAGATGTTGTTCATCAGGCATACTTTTGATTAAGCCAGCTTTCCAGAAGCATTCGGAAGTCTCAGAGCTCCATGAAATTCTGCCACAATGATGCATTCAGAGTAACCAGCATTCTCTATGTCAGGCTCTGTGCTCTGAACTTTAGGTAGATTCGCTCATCTAATGCCCACAACAACCCAGAAGCCAGGTGCTATTCACATCTCCATTTTATAGAGAAGAAAACTGAGGCTGAGATGAGAAAACTAAACTTGTAATAGGTGAAAGATGGAGGATCCAGGATTAAACCCAAGCACCGTAAGTCCTTGGCCTCTGTTCCTCACCTCCACGTGGCACTGTCCCCAAACCCGTTTGACTGGTTGATCCCGTGTCCTTAGATTACAGTCAAGGAGTGGGGAGGTATTTTAGAAGCTGCAGTGAGGACGGGCAAGAGGAGCAGGCAGGCAGCAGAAGTGAAGCATGGGCAGGTGCTGGAAACAGCCAGGGGGTACAGGAGTCCCGGAGGGAAGCTGCAGAGCCACCACCCGGAAGGCTGAGTAGGGCAGCTTGTTTAGCTGGCAACCCTGCAAGTCTTAATAGTCCTTGAGAGAAAGCAGAGCCCCCAACTCAGGAACACTGCAGGCATGGAGCACTCTGGGACTTGGGGGCGTGAAAACCTGCGTCCGTCACTTAAGGATCATATTGTTTTACAGTGCAAAACAGGAACTCATCCTCATAAGTGATACCCTTCAGTCACCAAGAAAAGGTGAATTGTGCTTGGAGTGTTCTGCTCATGAAGGTAGGGAAGAGGACACTTTAAAGCTTCCATTAAAAAGGTGGAGATTCAGAGATTTTGGTCATCAGAGGATCCTTTGGGTGTCCTTTATCTGCAATATTCACATATCTAGAACACCTTTTTCCTGCAAGGCCAGATGGAGTCTGAGTAAAGAATATGTACCTCGTGGATTTTTTCAAAGTGCTTCCACATTCATCCTCTGCTGATCCTCACAGGCCACAGGACTGGTGTTACTACAGATAAGAATCAGATTATATTTGCTTCCCGCTCCAGAAATCTTGGTCTCCAGCCTTTTAGAATTAAAACAACAGTGACGATGAGATTCTCGAAATTGCACCTGAAGCAGTAATCAGGTGAAAGTCCTTAGACTCTGGACTCCAGTTACTTTTTGTTTTTAAGTGATTACAAACAGAGGGCTTCAGATATGTGCCTTCAGTTGACAAAGAGGTCCAGGGTATCTTAGATGGGTAGGCAACCAGTTCTTTTCCTACTGGGAGATGGGCATATCTCTGTCCGCAAAAAAGCAGAGAGCCCGGTGGCTAGCATTCTACAATCCTTAAACATCATTGGACCATGGCACTACAGTTAAGACACAACATCCAGGTCCAGAAGGAAGCAAGAGAAATGCCAGCACATACTTGCTGGTGGGTGGGAGCAGAAGAGATGGCAACATATGCAGTTGACTCTCATTATCCTGGGTAGTGATGTCCTGTGAAGTCACCGGGAATGCTGAGTGGGCGAATACTGAACCCTTCTCTTAGGGGAAACACAGGGTTAGGTTCCTGGGGGCCTGTGGTCAGTTTTGTCAAGCGATCAGTCCTTAACCTTGCGTCATGTGTGTTTCTGTTTAAAGACACCTTATTTAATACATCTTGTTGATTCGTTAACACTGACCTCACAGCCAGCAGCGCAACAACTCGTGCCTGAAGGAAGCTTATCTAACACATGGACTTTTTCCGTAAGGCACATCCCGGCCTTCTTCACTTAAGAACATTAGACAGCGCTTCAGCACTATGCTGGGGGGCCAGGCTAAACAGAAAAATCACCAAGAAAAAGCACAATAATGTGAAAAACATGGCACTAAATAGACCGTGAAAAGAACACTTGTTTACTGTGTGAGAGCTAAAACCAGAAGGTGGAGCACGGCCCTGTTTGACCTCAGCTGGGAATGTGACTCCAGCTCTTTGCCCTCTGCAGATGTCTGAGGATGACTGCACGAGCACGCGAGTGTTGAGGTGGGGGTACAGAAAAAGGCAAGTGAGCAGGCAAATGTGCAAATACGGAACCAGTGAGTAATGAGGGTCAACTATATTGGTTACTAGAGGGCCTGGAGCCCTGGCCGTCTGAGTTGATCGGATTTTCCACGTGCACCTCCCTTTGCTTTACATTACTGAGCACTGGCCCCCTGGCTCTCCACTGCACCCTTCATCTTTCATGTTGGCCGTTGCTGGCGAGAGAAGTGCTCCTTGCCTTATGACAAATCCCATGGCAGTGACTGATTGTCTAGCCAGCTCCGGTCCCTGGTCCCAGCACAGCCCCCTGTCAGGCTGGGGCCTCGTGTCTTGATTAGCTCAGTCCCCAGAACAGGTGCATGGCTGGCCTCCACGCAAGGAGATAACGTGAGCCAGGCACTGCCACCAGCAAATCCCTTACTGTGTGGGGTCTGGCAAGGAATACCTCAATTCACCCTCTATCCAGCCACAAGCCTGGTTATGCCCCACACTCCATGGGAGCCAAGGGCAGCCAGCAGGACTTCAGATCTGACCCTGGCACTTCTCCCTCCCCTTCATACCCTCAACACGCTTCATTTTCCTTTTGGTTTCCTGGAGCTCTTGGGGTATGGATAGTGAGCTTTCATTCTGTGGGGCACATGCTGTAACACAGGACTGGGTCAATTGTCCCTACTCCAGTTTGACTCCCAACCCTATTCTCCTGACTCCAGAAGAAGGATGAGTAGTTGTTTTATAACTAGAACTTGAACCTTCTGCAAAATATTCCAACAGAGCTAAGGTGAACCCTCAACTCTTTAGTCACCTTACGACCCCAAACCCACTCCACAGGAAAGGAATAAAGAATGCAAATGCATGTGGGCAGAAACAGAGTCAAGAGAGGGGGCCTTGAAGTGCAGTTTCTGGAGTTGATTTGCGTGGGGAGGGAGCCATTATATGAAGTGACTATCTCCAGAGAGCAAGGCTACAGCCCCAGGGAGGTGTGACCGCGTATAGAGGTTTAGGGGCCGAGGGGCTGGCATCTTTCTATGCCTATCCCCAATAGCGAAAGGAGGAAGGGAGCAAAGCCAAGTGAGGCTTCCATCTTCATTGTTCACTGTCAATCTGGGCCCTTTTCTCTGGCATTAAACTCCCTGGGAAGGAAATGAAGGACCAACCAGTTGGCAGGAAGCCCAAGAAAGAGCAAGTTCAATCCAATTAGAATTGGATTCGATCAAATTTAAAAAGATAATTCCACCCAAACCAGAGCATCATTAAGGCAGTAGTTGAGGAGAACTCATTAGCTTGAGAGCCCCGACATCTGCCAATTAAAAATTTCCCTAGGCCACTCCCAGCCCCAACCCCATTTCGCCATAAAAATGACAAGTGCTAGAATCTGTGCTCTCCTAGGCAGCAGAGGCAAAATGCCAATCCTAGACAGTGGGTGTGGAGATAGAGCCCCTGCAGGACTGAGTGGGTTCAGGAGCTGAGGCTTTGTCCACCTTTGGCTTGTGTGTGTGTCCTACCCTCCAAGGTGCCTTTTCTGTAGAGTGTTTGGCTTGTACAAGAAATCCCTCCAGGTGGTTTCTGCAGCTTCCTGCCCCGGTGAGCTAGGCCTTTCCTGGTCGGAGAAGGCGTTCATGTCTCTAAGAATTAACCGAGATGCCCAGTGCATGGAACACACACATCACCAGGGCCCCATTTCCCACAAGCGGAAAATCAATAACAGAAATGCGCTTATATACCTGTTTTGGAAGAAAAGATGTAGACTTGCTTTGAAAGTTGAGCACTGGCCCTCTTGATTGTCACCTTCTGCTGCCAGGCCCCTCCTTGCTCAGAAATTAAATTTGAAGTCAGAGAGAAAATAAGGACAGAATCAGAAAATAGGAAAGAAATTAACGATTCCGTCGGAAGTTTTTCAATAGGCCCTTCTACCAGCAAATCCCAATCCAATTCCAATTTCTACTCATTATTACTTTAAACTGAATGCATCATTTAACTTTTATATCATCTTGATTTTATGTATTTTTCCATTCCGATTAGATTTCTTTTTTAACCGAAAGGGCAGCTCCCAGGACATTTTCTTGTGTTTGGAATCCTCATTTGTCTCCATGTGGGAAAGAACTTTCTCTAGATTAGAAATCCTTCCAGGCATGCTAAGAGTGGCAGAACAAACTCTAGTAATGAGAGCAGAGAATGAGGAGAGTAAATCTCCTGGGTCTTAAATCAGTGGTGTACTGGTAAATACTTAACAATTGGCTCTTCGGGGAAAAAAAGCCCTGGTTTGTAACATTTGCCCATTTCCCTGGTGTAAATATTTCCACCATGGCCAATTTCCAGCCAGCAAGGAGACATCACTGAAGCCAGAGTTGGGAGGAAATGTGCACAATTGTCTCCCAGGAGCCAGTGTGGATGAGTGGGCTTCAGCACCACCACTGGTCCTGACATCTTTTCTGACCCCGAGACTCTTGTGAGGTTTTCAGCTGCCACCCAGTACTAGGAGGAGTGAAAATGCATGTTCCATAACTGTTGTGGAGGTTCTTTGGGTTACTGTTTGGAAGGAGTTTCCAGTCATTGAAGAATAGTTGTTAATAAAGGCAAAGCCTGAGATCATGACCCAGAACAAAGGGAAATGGATCTTATTCATCCCCTTATACTCTGGTGGCCTGTGTCAAGAATGTCCCCTTCAGTGAGTCTCTCCATTTATGTGAAAGTAAAGACAAAACCTGGGATGACTGGAGATAGCTGTCTATGGAAAGTAGTGGCATGTGGGCCAGCTTCCTAGTGTGAAGCCATTAACACTTTTGTTTCCTCTTATCTCCATCCTTCCTGCCTGACCCGCTGCCTCCCGTGTGCTCCCCTGCCCCGCCCACTCTGCTCTCTCTCACCAGAGAGTTTTCCAAAGAGAGAGAGAAGGCCAAGGCTCGGGGAGATTTCCAAAAGCTGCGAGAGAAGCAACAGCTGGAAGAGGACCTCAAAGGCTACCTGGACTGGATCACTCAGGCAGAAGACATCGACCCTGAGAATGAGGACGAAGGCATGGATGAGGAGAAACCCCGAAACAGTGAGCAGCCATCCTCTGTCTTGGGCGGGGTTCTGGGAGACAGCCTTTCCTTACAGCTTATCTTCCTGGAGCAGCGTTTGTCCCATTGTTTGCAATCATTTGCTACTCATAGAAGTTAGTCACAGCTGTGAAATAATTGCTGTTGATCTCTGAAGCCTCACATTCCTTTTAGAATCTTTGATCTTAAAAGACAGTTGAGATTTTGCTGAGGCGGACTCTTTATATTTAAATCAGGCATCCTCCTCCGCTCCCCGTCTTTGGTCAGGGGGCCAGGCTTCCTGCTCCAAGCTTGTTCAAAAGGGGCGGTTTCCACCAAGCAGCAGGATTCTTGCCTCCTTCACAGTATGCTTCAAGCACCATTGGCTTTCTCATAGGGAAAGGAGCCAAAAGTTTCTCTTAAGGAGGTTAGATTCAAAGATCTGGGGAAGTGCAAAATGGGAGGTTTGGGGAAGCCCAGAGGAATTTGAGGGAATACAATTAGGTTATAGAAATTGAGCCAAATATCTTCCTCTGGGGCTTCATGTGGCAGATTGTCGGATAGGCTATTGCTGGGATGGAAATGAGAGTGATAGATGGTATCAACTCACAAGTGTAGGAAAGACGATGAATCATGGAAATTCAGGCTCTCATCAGATAAGCCCAGTGGTTCTCACAGTGTGGTCCCTGGACCAGCAGGACTGGCGTCACCTGGGAACTTGCTAGAAATGCAAACTCTTGGGTTCCACTTCAGATCTGCTGACTCAGAAACTCTGGGGTGAAGCCCAGAAATCTGTGTTTTCACAAGGCCCCGGGGATTGTGATGCACAGCCAGCTTCTGCTACTCTCTGCATCTCATGTGACTTCCGTCTCTGGCTCTGACCACACTGTCTCTTCTTCTTTCTGTGTGCAATCTTTTTCTTACATTTCACGTATTTGAGTAGGTGTGTTTCTGTCCTCTCAAGCAGCCCCACTTAAAAACATGTTCCTAAACATTGAGTACCTAGAATGGTCAAGGAACCAAACAGGTTAAATAGCCAAGCAAGACATTTGCTGTATGGAGTTGGGCAGGTGAGGGCAGGAAGCCAGAAACCTTCCCTAAGCGCAAAGGGAGATGAGCAAGACCCACTGAGGCTTGCGGAGCGCAACCGAGGGAAAGCAGGGTGTCCATTATTGATCAAATGCTTCTCTCCTTAAGGAGGCCACAGGACTGTCAGGGGGCCTGGCCCAGAGAAAATCACAGTCCTTCCATTAGTTTTAAAATCCCTGTGAGTGTAGGCGTGCGTGTACATGTATATCCTAACACATGTATGTAAATATAGTAAGTCTAATCTCTTGGCCTTGTAAGTAGGCATTAATTATGTCCATTGCGTTCAGACTCCCTGATTGATTTCTGTGTGTTTTCACTCATTAGTCTGAGTTCTAACTGGGGATCTAGGAGAAGAAACAGGCGGAGGAGGGAGGGAAGAAGACAGCCAAAGATGTTAACAGAGAACAAATCTCTGCTCCCTCATTTCAGAGACGGATTTAATGCATCTGTCAACTGCTCCCTTTCTGATAATTCTGCTCAAGGTGCACATACAAAATTAAAACACAGAAACAACACGGGACTGGTAACAACATAATTGAATAACCTAAGTGGGCCTTCGTGCTCTACTAAGTCGTTTGCAAGTTGGAAGACGAGGCCTTTGATGGATCACAACAGTGAGCAATGGTGCCATTGAGGGTCTTTCTGGAAATGTGCCTGGCGGCTTCTGTTATTCTGTTGGTGGAAGTGTGGAGTAGTTGATGTCTGTGGCACTGAGTGGCATGGTAAATAAATAAGTCGGCCTCGGAGCCGCAGAGAAGCCTACCTCTGAAACACAGGAGTTGGCATCGTGGCTCCTCTCTCTGTCCTAAGCTGGAGGGAGCCCCTAGCTCCTGATTAATGGTGATGAGCATGTTTCTTAGTGGGTGTTATGAAAAGCGTACAGGAGCCACTGCTTTCTTACTGATCAGTTGCCATCCACAGAGACATGCAGTTATTCTGTTCTCTGCCTAAAGCAAGAGCTTCCAAGGAGAAGTATGCTGCTTCCCTGTCTTGCTCATTAAATGAATAAATACCAAGGAGTTCCCAGCATGGAGTATTCTTTGCTGCTAGAGCAGAAAACACTGACGAGGCCTGTCTACCCACATTTCTGGCTGAGCTTTGAGAAGAGCCCAGCGACCAGCCTACCCCAATGGACAGAGCCTCTGTCGAGATCTGCCCGAATATGGGCGAAACCAGACCCTGGAAGCTGGTGTTCCTCTCACCTTGTACCTTTCCTGAGGGCTGCAGGAGCCTTTTGGATCTGCTTCTTGTCCTCAGCCAGCCTTGTCCCGGGAGGATAGAGTGGGAACCTCGCTCCTACAGTTGTGGAAATGGTGGTGGAATAGTTCCAGTGGAGTGGGGCAAGGGAAGGAGTATCTGAAAAAGTGAGATATCAAGAGGAAAACAGACACGTGCAATGAAACGAACATGGGAGACTTGGGAACAGAGCCAGGAAATGAGTCCAAAGGACTGTGTCTGTTGGGGAAGTCCAGTTCAATGCAGAGTTGATGTGATTAAATTATTAAGCAATTGAGAACCTAATAGATTTGCAGAAAAGGCAAGCCTATGGCTTGGAAACTATATTATTTTATTTTATTATTTATTTTTTTTTTTGGTGTGGAAGATTGTCACTGAGCTAACATCTGTGCCAATCTCCCTCTGTTTTGTATATGGGATGCCCCACAGCATGGCTTAGTGAGCAGGGTATAGGTCCATGTCTGGGATCCAAACCTGCGACCCCCAGGCCGCCAAAGCAAAGAGCAAAAACCTAACCACTACGCCACCAGGCTGGCCCCAGAAACTATATTCTTGTCTTCAGAACTTCATAGTTTGCCCTTTGAAAGAAATGCAAAGGGAGAAATGCTGCTATAAATTATACATGTTTAAATTAAACTAGTATCTTAGGCTTTGAAACTGCTAAAAGATTACAATATAGTGTATCTGCCAGTTCTTTTCAGCTCAAAAACTAAGTAGTCTTTTAAGAAAAAGGTATTATCACCCTTCATCGATGGCTCTGGCAACTTTTCCTACCTGGGCAGAATGCCTGTCCGCACTTACTGTGTCAGGCATTGATGACGTAGAGGGGGCCCAGTGCAGGGACCGTTCAATGACACGTCATTGCATAGTAGCTGAGCATACCTACGGGCAGCCCAATTATTCATTTTTCTAGGAAAAGCTGCAAAAACCACTGAGGAAATAGAAAGAGCAGGTGTTGGGATGACGACAGAGAGGAAGGGCATAGTTGGGAGGCATTTCTCTAAGTAACTAGAGGAAATGGTATGGCCAGTGAGTTATATACAAAAATATGTTCCAGTTCCTTCCTTCTTCCATCCCTCCACCAATTAGAGGTCTGCTGTGTTCCAGGCACTGTGTTAGTCACTGTGGATGTGGCAATGAACCAAGGAGTCAAAGATCCCTGCCTCATGGGACTTATATCCCAGTCGGGAGACAGACAATAAATTAATAGTCTGTCAGAGAGTGACAAGTACCACGGAGAAAGATGGGACAGCAAGAGGGGGACAGAAGTGCTGAGACGTGGTAATTTTAGGTGAGGTGACCAGGAAATATTTCACTGAGAAGGCAGCATTGGAATGAAGACTTGAAGGCAGTAAGGAAAGGAACCATGTGGATATTTGGGAAAAGAGCATTCCGGAGCGGCTAATGGAAAGACCTCGAGGCAGGAGCATGGCTGATGTACTCGAGGAACAGAGAGGAAGCCAGTGCCGCTGGAGAGGCGTGCATGCGGGGCAGAGACGTAGGAGATGAGGTCCAGGTACCCAGGAAGTCGATCCTGAAAATTGCAGTGAGGACGGGGCTTTTACGAGGGGTGAGCCAAGGAGCCACTGGAGGTTTTGAGCTGAGAAGTGACGTGAAGGACACACATTTATTAGGAGAACCTGGTTGCTGTGTGCAGAATGGAATGAAGGTGGGCAAGGGGCAAGCAGGCGACCATGTCGGAGGAGACTGCCTCAAGAGATGGTGGTGCCTCGTCCTGGTAACAGTGAGGCGACAGGCTGCAGAATGATGCCACTCGCTGACATGTCAGACAGGGGATGTGAGAGAGAGAGAAGTCAGGGAGATTCCAAGGTGATCGTCCTGAACAACGGCCAGAGTGGAAGCATCATGCAGTGGCACAGGGAAGACTGCGAGGAGTAGGTGTCAGGGCAGGAGTGTCAGGAAACCACCTTGGACCTTTCAGTTTGAAGTGCAGGCTCAACTCCAGGTGGAGATGGTGAGTAGGTGATTGGGAGTGACCTGAGTGCAGGGGAGGCATGTGACAGAATTATGATTTGAGGGGTCAACAATATGCAGAAGGTGTTTAACCCCATTTGCGGGGATGAGGCCACTGAGGGACTAGTGTAGACAGAAATGAGATGAGGTCTGAGAGCCTATGTCCCACCAACGTTTAGAGACTGAGGTGATGAGGAAAAACCAGCAAAGGAGACCTGGAAAGAAAGCCAGAGACACAGGAGGGAAGCAATGGGCGGCCGGGCAGTGCTGCTCAAAGGGCAAGCAAAGTGAGTTCTGAAACCTCTTGGCTACACTTGTCAGCATGGGGCCACTGGTGCCTTGACGAGAGCTGTTTGGTGAAATGGTGAGGGCCAAAGCTTAAGGGCAAACCAGAGCCTTATTTCATGAGTCTCTTCAGTCCGGATACTTCCCAGACTGGCATCAAGCGTTGCTCTGCAGGCCTCCTGTTCTGTTGACATGGTCTCACCCCCAGCCATCGGAAACGGGAAAGGAGGAGAGTCACATAATGCTGCCTGCCCATGGCCCCCAGGAGGCAGTGTCTGAAGCCGAGCCCTTCACAGATCCCCTCTACAGCCATCTGAGTACTAGGCATTGCCTCTGCGCTTGGTTACAGCCAGCCTTGGAAAAAAGGAGAACATGACACTCAAGAGCCAGTTCAAGGCCAAAAAGAAGAGAGGCGTGCTGTGCCACCCCAAGCGTGGGC